CCACCCGCCCCACCATTGGCAGGAGAGCCTTCAGCCACTCTGCCCCCAACCTCTGGAACTCGATCCCCCAATCACTCCGCCTCGCCCCCTCCTTAGTATCCTTCAAGTTCCACCTCAAAACCCTCCTCTTCGACCATGCCATCGGTTACCCCACTTCCCCTCCCCCTCCCTTCTCTTCCCTGACCCCAACTCAGGTCTGAAATGCTGTACTCTGTCCAGCGCCTTGGGATGTCCTCCTGACGTGAAAGGCCCTATACAAATGTAATCTTGTTGTTGTTGTTGTTATTATCAATACGTGCCCAGATATTTGCATTTCCTGGTTGTAATGAAGTATATATTGTTGCTGTTTGTCTTTCTTTTTTCTGTATGTTTTAAAAAAGAGTTTTGTTTTATCCCCGATATGAACATTTTCAGTTGACAAAATGCTGTGTAAAAGTTCTATTGATGTGAGCTGGCTCTCCCTCAGATTTTTCTCTCTTTTTCCCCTCTGTCAGTGTATCCCTTTGGATAATCATCTTGCCTACATCAGCATGTTTCTCTCCCACTTCCAGGATGTGAAGACGCTATACAAATGTAATGTGTTGTTGTTGTTGATGTTGTAAATGAGCTCCTTTGTTTGAATGGGAGAGTAAGATTGTCCTGAAAATAATTATTTGAAATGTTTTAGTGGTGATTTATAGCTGCTTAATACCATACACTGACTAACCACTGTCCAGGTCCTCTATTCACAAGATCACAAAAAAACATATAGCAAAAAGCCCCAATGGAATTCTAAACATTTAAGCAAAACATTGTGCACTTTCCCTTTGTGAATTGCCAGTTTGCATTCTGCAACAATTTGAATAGTTCATCAGCAATGAGTGCTCTTGGCCAGTCAAAACAGTTGTAAACCTTATGCAAACACACAGGGGAATTCCAGTGGAATTCTTTTGTACTTTGAATACTTTAATACCTAGTATTTTGTAGGGTTTTTCAATCATCTTTGTCAGGGAGAACTTTTTTTGAACTTTCCCTCTGGGAAACTAGAAGGTTAGAGTTTATAATATTAATTCTTGCATTTGCTTTCGCACCTTTCACGTCGGGAGGATGTTCCAAAGCGCTTCATCAGATAATAACAACAATCTTGCATTTATACAGTGGCCTTCATGTTGGACAGCGTCTTGGAGTGCTCGGATATCCTGTAAAGTGTAGTAATTGTGTGTTTTTTGACAAACGCGGCAGCCTAATTGTGCGCAGCAATGTCCCACAAGCAGCTATGAAAGTTTGTGATATGTTTGACTGCACAAAAGGATTGGGCTGAATAGTATCCTCTTGTTGCAGCTTTTATACATATTCAGGTGCTGTATATTCCTTACGTTATTAGACTTGTCATGTATCAATTGCTAACCCTTTTAAATATTTCACTCTGTATTTTCATAATATAAATAGGTATTGAAAAGCATTCCAGTATGAGCGATGAATGGGTTGTAGACAATGTAATTAGTTGCTTGACACCATTCCTTGGCTTTTGTTGTTTTGTGGAAGTGCAGAACTACAGATAAATTATGTTAAATTGCCCAGTCGGGGCCCTGCAAAAATTCCCCAGGTCTTCCATTCCAGTTGCATAATAATAATAATATTCTTGCATTTGCTAAAGCGTCTTATCACATTGTTAAGATGTCTCAAAAGGATTTCATAGGAATTACTTGTGAAATGGTGACCAACTTGGTCACAACAATGTCCCACAAATAGCCATGTACGTTAATACTTGGTCAGTGATCAACGACCAATACGTGGTCTACAGAAGGCATTAGATATAATGTGTATCAGCATATGTGTTGTGTATATATAATGGATTAATAAGGTTTGTCAGTCTAGTACTCCTTTCTCTGCAGATCTCATGTTTGGAGAATGTGACAGTTTGTCCCATAGCCATCTGTTTATATTGGCTGGTGTTTGGAAATTGCTTTTATTTTTAATTTACTAAAGAGGTTCCAATGAGTAATCGTGGCCAGGAAGCTGTTGAGTAGCAGAGTTTAAATCTGGGATTAGGGCCCAGGACTTTTGAAGAAGAGACTTCTGTTGCCTACAGTTACAGATCTGCCATTGCAAACCTCACTTAACCGCCTCAACCATTCTTTTTTTAATAAAAGCCCATGGAGTATAAACATAATTGACAAAAAAACAAGTATTTAACATTTGTAGCGCCTTTCACATTGGGAGGAAGTGCTTCATAGAGCCGACTGGGAAAACCTCAAGAAATGCATTGAGTATGCTAGCCACTGAGTAGAAAGAAATCATTTTACAGTGTTCCAATTGTGTTACTGAAATAATGTGACCCATTGAATAACCAATGATTATCCCACAAGCAACTTGATTTTACATCGAAATTTGAGGAGACTGGCAGGAATGATTGCAATCTGGGGTGCATGTAGTGTATTGCTGATCTCATTCGTGAAACTAAAGACATCGGCCATTCATCATTCATGGGAAAATAGTGCAGTATTGTGGTGCTGCATTCATACACTGTAAGCATGGGCTTAGCACACCTTGGGGGTAGATTTCATTTTAGAGTTTGAGTTAATAAAGTACAAGCTATAGTATTCTACATTGAAACCAGAATAAAATTGCAAATTAACAAATAATTAATTTTCTTCTACACTTTTTAGATCTCGCTCACCCTCAGTCTTTACTAACTCAACATCTTTCACTCTCACCCTCTGGATCCTACAGCTAGAGGTGAAGGCTGAATGGGTCCACATATGTTTTTATTCTTGAATCCAATGTTATTAAAACTGCACTTGGGTGATTCAGATTTGCGGTGGAGTCCCATAATGGAGTGGTTAGCTCACTTGCCTCGAAAGCAAGAGGACCAGGATTTGATTCATTAGGCAAATTTCCTTACTCCACATGCCTCTGTTTACCTAGCAGTAAGTAGGAACCCAATTGTTAGTCACTTGGCAGATCATTTTCCAGGGATCTCTCTAAATTTTTTAAAATTTTGGTCACTCAATCCACGACTGTTGGTGGGCAACTGCTGTGTGCAATTGGCTGCCGCATTTCACAGTCGATCCATTTTATAATGTATTCGGTGAAGTCAGCTCAACGATGTGATAAGGCACTATACCAAATGCAAGAATTATTATTATTTATATATTTATTAACACTGGTTATGAAAAAATGTAATTATAGTTATATGCGATGACAAAATGCCATTTTTTTTCTACCTTGTCAACATTCAAATATTTGGGGGGGTGGTCAGGTGGCTGACTCATGTGGAAACCCATTGCTGTGCTTAAGAATATCCAAACTAGACTGATAGTTCCACATATTCATGTCACCTATGCATGGACATTTCTATTTGTCTCCAATTGAATGTACTCTATCTCCCTGAAGGGGAGAATTCTGGAAAGTATTAGGTGCAGGTTGGCAAGAGCTTGGGTTTTCAGATTGTGTGTTGAGGTACTACTGGAGTTTAACCAGCAAAAGTTGCGCAATTTACTGTTGCAAACAGTGTCTGGCAAATTTCTCACCGTTCGTTAAGCTGTGGCCATTTTGCTTGTTAGGGTACGATTAACAGGAGTTGAGTGGGAAGAATCCCTAACCCAGTGACCTGTCTATCCCCTCTAAATCCTGCCAACAAACTAGGCTGTCCATTCTGTTATCAACTTTGCCTTAGAGCACCGTACAACTGCTGTGCTCAAGAACTCCACTACTGAGACCGCTAGAAGATGAAATTGAATGTGATATTCTATTACTAAAGCACATCACATTGTAACCATCTCAGCCTCAAGGGACTTTTGCTTACCCTTCACCTCTCCCTCCCAAGCTAAAGCTAAGTGTATTGGCTAATATAGAGAAAGACTAAATCCCAATTGTGATATCTTCTTTTTGTTTTCTCTGAAGTTTTTGAACTGTTGTATTAAAAAAATCGTTGACTTCATCTCAGACGACGGGTACATATCTCTCTGGATCTGTTATTAAAAAAAAGCATGGAAAGGCAATGAGTTAGTAAGAATATACATGTCTGCGCTCCTGACACCTGACACCACGTTCAGATGCATTGCAGAGGCCTCTGGTCTGTTGGAGGCCTCCCACCCCGCCTCCTGCCCTATCCTGTGACAAGATGCATGGTATCCTTGCATGCTTTGGAAAACTTTGTATATTAGTCAAATATTTAATGTGGATTTTCGTCCTGTTTGAAAGAGTTTCTCCCGGAGTCCTAGCTAATATGTTTTCTGATAACTTGATCATTCATCTCATGGCTTGAATCCACAACCTCACAACTCAGAGGCGAAAGTGCCAGGCTGACACACATATAGCAAGGCACTATAAAAATGCACTTGGGTGAAACGGTTCTTTTGAAACGAGTTTCAAATATTTCAAGCTCAATTTTGTCTAATTTATGGTACTTTGTGGAGTCCTGTAGCTCAGTGGTTAGAGCACTCATCTTGCAAGTGAGAATCCTGGGTTTGATTCCTGGCAGGGCGAAATGTTGGGCAAGTTTCCTTACTCCACATGCTTCTGTTTACCAAGCAGTAAGAGGAACCCAGTTGTTGGGGGGATCACTTTTCTGGGGATAATAATTCCTGAAGCGCTTTGGTATGTCTCGAAGACGTGATAAGGCGTTATATCAAAAGCAGGGATTATTATTTTATTATTATGTTGTAATGTATTTTCTGCAAAATAATTGTGCCATTAATATGTTGCTCTGCTGTTTGGGACATGAAGTGCACCAAAGGTGTTGTTGCCATCTAGTGTTGGAAGCCTTTGGGGATATTAACTGTACTGTTCATTTCTGATTTTCAGCTGTTTCTTTCAAAATGTAAGTTTCAAATCTTAATTAGCTATTTCTCCTCCAACTGTTTATTTTGAAAAATTATAGCAAAGTGTAGTAATAATCTCACAAAGAGTACCAGATTAAGAGAGAGATTCCATTCCAATTCCAAATTGCAGTTTCAAATATAACATATTGTACCAGATATTTAGCAACTAATTTGTTCATTTTTTTTATCTTTCAGTCCCAGGCTACACCACCATCGAATACAGATCGATATTTATATGTGACCTTCAGACATCGTATAGCACTATTATAGGGACATCTGCGTGATCCAAAAAGTAAGACATTTATTTATTATTTGTGGGTTTGGTTTATTTTGTGTAAGTCAGCAAGTCTTACCCTAATGGCAAGATCATCTTTGCTGGACTTTGGATTCATTATGGAAAATCTGACTTGTTATTTGATGCCTCAGAACACTTTCTTCCAGTCTTTCTGCGCTCTCATTATCACCAGAGTCACATTTGTGTAGTGGATCTGTCGTTGTTACATTTGCCTTTGCTTCACCATGGAACTCAACCTAATATATTAGTGTACACAAAAATATGCTTAAACAAACAAAAAAGCAAATTTAACTTCCATTATTTTCCTTCCTTATCTCTTCTCTGTTGATGGTGCTAACTCATACTTGGTACTGTACCTCATCCAGTGGTGCAGTCTTCATGCTTGAGGCTGGACATTGAGGGTCAGCAGGCTATTCATCTGTAGGGAGGCATCTTATCTGAGGAAAATACTGTCTTGAAATCGATCATGCACGAGTCTAGCATGTATTGCTGAATAGCAATCCAAGAGTGAGCAGCCTTGCCACTTTTCCCTTTTATCATCGCTTTCCCCCTCAAAAATTTACTCGACTTTATGGCTTAACATAACATTGCATCATAGGATGTCCTCCTGACATGAAAGGCGCTATACAATTGTAATTTGTTGTTGTGTTGTGCATTTAACCACTTCACTATGCTGAACTGCTGATGTGAAATTCTGAGTAAGTACAAGTTGTAATTCTGAGTAAGTACAGATTCAATGCTTTTAGTCTTAATGAATCTGAGGAACAGTGGATTCTTATCTGGCTGTCAGTGTACTTTTCCAAAATAATGGGAACCATTCTAAGTGTTGAACTCAGTATTCTGTTAAACAATTCATTAGGCAAGTTTCCTTACTCCACACGCCTCTGTTTACCTAGCAGTAAGTAGGAACCTAATTGAGCTTAATCCAAGGTAATTTTCAATCGACTAAATATGCAACATAGCCTTAGAAAACATGGCTTGATTGTATCATTGCTGGAAGTATAATACAGATACGTGTTGGTCAATTTGCGGACAGACAAAAGGAGCATGAGTGTGTGTAGAGATGGTGGCATAATTTTCTGTTGAGCATTTCCTTTAATCTTACAAATAAGTGACACTTGATGCAAATGAAGCTTGCTGTCTTAGAGTATGGTAGAAAATGCAGACAGAGGAAATTCCTCTTGTAGTGAGTTGAGGTCTTTGATGGGTTGTGGTTAGAAAGGAAAAAGACCATTATAGGGGCGTATACCATTCGTCTCTGCACTTAGTAGCATGACCAATTTCTTTCCGTTGCTTTCACTTAGCTGTCTGTAAATTCCTCCTTCAGTTTGTCCTTGCAATGATGACTAGGCACACTTACTGTAAGCGAATAGTTTGTGTATTCATGTTTTCAATAAAAAATATAAAAAGTGTGTACTTTTTAAATATATATATTTTTTGCCAGTGGTATTAAACTTTTATTTGTATCTACGAAGGAAGCAACAAAAAGTAATACAATTATGATGTAGTTTGATTTAATGGGTTTCTATATAGGTGACAGAGTGAGGTGCATGCTGTGCAAAGTGTCTGCTTTATAACACGGTTTATAGCTTTGCATTGCAAATGTGCCAAGCAGTCAGAAACGTAACATTACAATGTTGAAAAAGGAGCCATCAGTGGCCATTATCGCCCATTGATTTTATGCGTCCGAAACCCATGAGTCTTGCAAAGGGTGCATTTCTTCCGAGATCTTAAAAAAAACTCCTGAGGGACTGAGTGAATCTCTACCATATGTACAGGTATGCAAATATCACTTCAGATTTAACATTTGGAGAACAGAATATATGGAAATGCTCACTCAGTGAAGCCCCAGAGTCCTGTTAATCAAGTCCAGGAAATATTTTTTGCTTGTTTTGATGTGGGGACTTGCCATTGAATTCTGCTCTTGAAAGGTTTATAAGTTGGATTCTGAAATTCAGAAACTCTTGGAGCAAGAATGCTTTTGTAGCAGTTACTTATGGCAGATGGCCAGGATTCTAATCCACATTGAGATTTATGATGTCAAGCAGTTGCGGTTATTGGCTATTTATTGCCAAATTATAGCTGCTCTGTAGCACTTTATAAAGAGTGAACTGTACATAAAAGAAATGCCCTGCTTCAGAATATCCATTGAAATGTGGAGCTCCATTAAAACTGTAGTGTTATTTTGCATTATGCTTTTAAGTCTTAACATGGAGCATTTGCCAAATGGGTAAATGTGGAATTGGTCGTGTAATATAATTTACATTATTAACGAAGCAGGGAATCTGTAACTTCCATCTATATTAATTGATTAAAATTAGATTTTCAAATCTGCCCATTACTTAAATGACAGATTTACTGCATTGGAGGTGTATTGGAGCAGATTGTTTGACATTTGGGGGAAATAAGAATAGAAATTATAATAAAAATTAACAATAATAGTAATCCTTACATTTGACAGAGCACCTTACCACATTGTCAAAAGGTCTCAAAGCTTGTCATAGGTTTTTCATTGTAAAGTGTTGTAACTATATTTGTAAGTGAATGCAACAGCCTATTTGCACACAATGTTCCATTAACAGCTATGAAGTGAATGGCCGATTTTATCTGAAGGATCGTTGGACACAATAAAATTAAAAAAAATTCTTGCACTTGATGTAGCGTCTTTCATGTCTTGAGAACGTCTCAAAGCACTTCACAGGATTTACTGCAAAATGTAGTGACTACAGTGACTGGAGTCCTATAGCTCAGTGATTAGAGCATTCATCTCACAAGCGAGAGACCTGGGTTCAATTCCCGGCAGGGCGAAATGTTGGGCAACAACAACAACACCAAAATTACATTTGTATAGCACTTTTCACATCAGGAGGTGCTGGGCAATCAGTGTTTTGGACCCAAGTTGGGGATTGGGATTGAGGAGGGTGGAGGGTGGGGGGGAAGGAGGGTGATTGAAGGCACGGTCGAAGAGGAGGGTTTTGACATAGGTCTTGAAGGAGGCAAGGGAGGGGGTGAGGTGGAAGGATTGCGGGATGGAGTTCCAGAGGATGGGGGCAGAGTGCCTGAAGGCTCATCGGAGCCATGGAGGGTTTTGACAGTGAGGTCCAGGATCTTGAACTGGTCAGGCCTCCTCCTTGTCGCCCGAGTCCTCCGCTCCACCCTCGGTGTCTGTGCCTTCAGCCACTATGCCCCGAGGCTCTGGAACTCTCTTCCTCACTGCCTTCGCCTTGCCCCCTCTCTTCCCATTTTCAGGTCTCGGCTGAAGACCTTTCTTTTTGACCGCGCCTTTGGTCACCTTCCTCCCCCTCCCCCTGGCTCGGCCCCGGGATCCGTTACTGTGAAGCATTCTGAGACGCCATCCGGCGTGGAGGGCACTATATAAATCCAAGTTGTTGTTGTTTAACTGTATCCTCTGATCCTCTGTGTGATGGTCCATCCAGGAGGATGAGGAGGCAGAGGAAGCCCTGGTCACAGATAGAGAGGATATCATTTGTGACCTTCACGAGCGCTATCTCTGTACTGTTGTCAGGGCGGAAACTGGACTGGAGGGGGGTTCGAGTAGGGTGTGGAGGGCGAGGTTTGCGTGAAGTTAGTTGTCAACAATGCATTCCAGAGCTTTGGCAAGAAAGGGCAGGTTTGAGACCGGCTGGTAGTGGCCGAGGTTGGAAGGATCAAGTGTAGGTTTTTTAAGGAGGGGGAGTGATAACTGGGGTTTGAGGGCGAGTGGGACTGATTCTGAGGAGAGAGACTGGTTAATAGTGTCTGCCAGCGGTGGGCAGAGGATGGGGAGCTGAGTGATCGGTTGGGTGGGGAGTGGGTCGAGGCAGCAGATGGTGGGTTTCATTGTGGTGATGGTGGATGAGAGGAAGGAAGGGGAGATGGCTGCAAATGAATGTAGGATGAGGGCTCTGGTAGGAGCTGAGGGCAGGGTGGGTGAGGGTGACGGAATGGCGGTGGTGGTAGGCGTCATGGAGCAGAGTGATGAAGCAGCCAGGCGGATGTTGTCAATTTTAGAGGTAAGGAAGTCCATGACCTCTTTGCACTTGGCGTTAGATGTGATGATAGAGTGTGCTTGAGGGGGTGCACGGAGGAGGTGGTAGGCAGTGGAGAAAAGGATTTTGGAGTTATTGTTGGCCTCCAGTATGATGTTTGAGTAGTGCACAGTTTTTGTGGTGCCTTTGGTGCTTCCTGAACATAGCTGTACACAGGAAATTATGTTAGTAGTAGCCTTTTTTATATTGTGCCTCACTAGAGCATGGAGTCTGGTTTCATGGTTGGACAGTAATAAAAATCATTGGCGTGTCATAAACCAACTGAACAACTGATGAACAAAATTACTCTGTGTGGTGTTAACTGTACTTCAAAGTACAGGAATTTCTAAAGTCCAGCAATGTTGCAATGGTTGACTGATAGAATTTCAGTTTCTCCACTCTGACTCTCTGAGGAACTGCACCATCATTCTGACCCTCTGCCACTTAGAGAGCCATAAGACTGCCCACTGGAAGAATGGAAAACCTTTCCTTGTCTGCAAATAGCACTCCCAACAAACAACATATTTTGTGTGCGAAACACAGCAGCCAATTGTACACAGCAGTGTCTCACAAATAGTCATGGATTGAGTGACCAATTTATTATTTTTTTTTTGAAGGAATTATTACCCCCGGAAAAGTGATCCACCAATTAACTAACAACCGGATTCTTACTTACCGCTAGGTAAACAGAGATGTGTGGAGTAAGGAAACTTGAAACTTGACCCTATCACTCCTATCTTCACCCTACTCCATTGGCTTCCCATCATACAGACACAGTCCTCCTCCACCGCCTGTCCTCCATCAGCCACCTCAGTGGGACACACTCGCTTGATTCGAGTCCTACCTTACAAACCGCCAGCACTACATTTTTGCAAATGGCTTTTGTTCGCGCTTCCACCTGGTCACCTACTACACACCCCTCTGTTTACCTAGCAGTAACTAGGAACCCAGTTGGCGGATTGCTTTTCC